CTACTGGTGCCAAGAGTGTTGACTGTGGAGCTAAATAAACTAAAGCTGTGTACAATCTCAATCTCTTCACCATCCATACATAGGGGAAAAAAATACAACTCTAACACACATCTTTCCTGATTTTAAACCTTGCAATGTCCCTTTGTTAAGTCTTAATGACTAAGTCTTGGCTCATGTACAGGTATATGAGTACAATTAAGTGTTATGGAAAAACTATTTTTCTCAAAATTATCCATAGCTTATTAATGACCCACACAGTCAAATGCCGCTGCATAGTCACTGAAACACAAGTAAACTTTAGGTATTTTCTGTTTTCTGCCAAGATCCATTTGTCAACAGCAATGATATCCCTCTCATATAATGGTCTCTTCTGAATCCAGCTTAAATTTCTCAGAGTTCCCTGTTGATGTACTGTTCCAATAATTTTTTTAAAAATCCTCAGCAAGATCTTACTCGTATGTGATATTAATGTTATTGTTTGATAATATTCACATTCTGGTGGGTTAGCTATTTCCCCCCAAGAATGCAAACAAATATGGCTCTCTTCTAGTCAGCTGGTTTGCAGCTGTCTTCCAAATTTCTTGGCATAGGCAAGAGAGCATGTCCAGAATTGTATGTGTTTGCTGAAAGACCTAAACTGATATTCTGTCAATTCTCAGTTTTGTTTTTGTGCCAGTGCCTTCAGTGCATCTTTGACTTCCTCCCTCAATTCCATTGGTTTTTCATCATATACTACTTCCTGACATGATTTTGTGTTCACCAATTATTTTATTACAGTGGTTCTGTGAATTCATTCTATCTTCTTGTGATACTCTTCATTAGGCTTGATTTTTTTTCTCCAACTTTAGAAAAAATGCCGAGCATGCTCTTTTAGTTTTTTAACTACAAATTTTTGTCTATTTTCTTGGAAATACTCAGTCACTCCTCTTTTAAATTCTGTGTCAGAAAGTTCCATGAGCCTTTCTGATTTCAGGGTATCAGCTGCTCTTGTGTCATCCTTTGTGAGTGACATCTCGCTTTGCTCTTGTATATTGTGTGGGATAGTTTGCTTTCTTCGAGACATTGGTATATGTTCTTGGTCTGAAGACAATGCTCTTGAGATCAGATGGGCAGCTGCCAAACTTGTGCGTTTCTCTGACTTTATGACTTCAGAAAAATGTCAGTTCAGCGCCTACTAGGGCAATCTCGTGTTGCTAAAACAGGTCCAGGTACTCCTGCTTAGAGGCAAGTTGATTGCCCAGACGTGTAGGCACTGGGGTGGAGCCAAATGGGGTGAGGCAGGGAAAGTGTTGGGTGATCGCAAGGCCAGGTCAATCACTTGGAGGACCTTGCTCAAACCTCT